CTTTCCCTTCCACTGAAGGGTAGGTTAAGCGATAGCAAAGGGTGCAGGTGGAGGACAGGAGGACAAGCAGGACCGTAAGAGCCAAGCCATGGTCCAAACTCAGCAGCTGGGCAGGGGGCAGTGGTTTGCAGAGCTCCAGACAGGGCATCATGCACAGGGTGAAAGATGAAAATCTGAAAATCCAGCAAGAAGGCTGAGGAGCTGGCTGGGCAGGCTGGTACCTGCAAGCAAGGACAGACAACAGGCTGGAGGCACAGCCTGGGAGGGGAAACAGGCATCTGTCATCTGCTGCAACAGCCCATGGGCAAGGGGAGAGCTACCCGGAGGAGCAAGGATGGTGAGAGGAATCATTGTCCTCCTGCAATGTCCTGCAGGGAAGCGCATGGGGTGAGGCTGTGTGCGTCAGGGACTGAGAGTGGAGGTGTGGAAAAGGCTCGGGAACAAGGGGAAAGGCTGCAAATCCAATGTAGAGAGCTGGAGAGGGACCCACATGGAAGCAGAGACCAGGGCCTGAGTGCCAGGGAAGGGTGGCAATGGTGCTTACAGCAGCTGAGAGGAGAGGCTGTAGCAATGTCCTGGGACTGACTTTACAGGTGAGGAGCCTGGGGAAAATAAAGCAGGAAAAAGGACTGAACTGGCACTGCAAAGTGCTCGTCTCTGTGAGACACCAGACTCTTTTCATTGCCCTGTGAAATCTAATCCTGCATTACCTTTGAATTGCTAATGAAAAAGGGGCCTTTATCGAAGGCAGGGGCCAGCATGGAGCACGCATGTCCCCAGGGAACAGCAGCTGTGCCCTGGCTTTTCTGCTGACAGGCATTCCCGAGATGGCTCCTTTCCACTGCTGGGTTTTCTTCCCTTGCTGTCTGATGTATCCCATCGCAATGCTGGGAAATGGCACCATCCTGCTTGTTGTGAGAGCAAATAGAAGGCTCCACCAGCCCGTGTACTACTTCCACTGATGCTGGCCACCACTGACCTGGGCCTGACTCTGTCCACCTTGCCCACGGTGCTGCGTGTCTTTTGGTTCGGCACCGGAGAGATCAGCTTCCCAGTCTGCCTCACCCAGATGTTCTCCATCCATGCCTTCTCCTTCACGGAGTCCTCGGTGCTTCTGGCCACAGCCATGGCCATCTGCTGCCCGCTGAGATACTCCTCCATCCTCACCAGTGGCAGGATTGCAAAGACTGGGCTGGGGATGGTCTGCGGCTCTCTCACATGGCTCCCACTTATCTGCCTGCTCATGCAATTGCCGTTCTGCAGCTCCCACGTGCTGTCCCACTCCACTGCCTTGCACCAGGACATGATATGGCTGGCGTGCACAGACCCTACCCTGAACGGCCTGTACGGCCTAACCCTGGTGCTGTTTGTGATCCTAGACTCAGTGCTCATCACCTTGTCCTGCACCATGATCATTAAGGCTGTGGGGGGCATCACCTCCAGAGAGGAGCAGACCAAAACCCTCAACACTTCTGCGCTGTCTTCTGTCTCTCACTGTCTCTCACTTCTGCGCTGTCCTCATCTTCTATGTCCCCATGGTTGGCCTGTCCATTATACACTGGTACGGGAAGAATGCTGCATCCTTCAGCCACATGCTCATGGCCAGCATCTAACTTTTTGTCCCGCCTGTGTTGAACCCCATCATCTACAGCATGAAAAACCAGCCCATTCGCAAAGGCCTCCTCAGGCTCCTGTGTCAAAGACTGGCCTGGCGTGGCCGTGGCCGTGGCCAGCAGTCCAGGAGTCATAGAGAAGTGGGAAGCTTGCCTACATGAAATGCCCATAAAAAGTGACAGGCTGAACATAAGGAGGAGTTTAAGAGAGAGAAAAATTAATAGGAAGAGCACCTTGCAAAGGATGCTCTAACTGTCAGCAGAATGCTCTTTAAATGCATCAAAAGCAGGAGCCCAGCTAGGAAACAGGTGGACCACTTGGTGACCAAGGGTGAGAAGCATACTCAGGGGCGATAAGGCCACAGCAGAGAATCTCAGTGAATTCTTTGCATTGGATTTCTATACCCTACACTGTCTTCATAGCAAATGGATTAGAGGATCTTGATCAGTTCGAAGTAAATATGGAGGAGGTGTTACATCAAAGAAATATCAGTTAAATATCACTAACTCCCAGGACCAGGTGTGATTCACCTGAGAGTCTGGAAGGAGCTCAGATGTGAAGCTGCAGAGCTGCTGGGCAGGGTGCATCGCTCTATTGCAAATGGTCATGGTGCTGCAGGGCGAATCATCCCTTCAACTCCACCTGCAAAAGGGGCTTCACGGGGTTCCTGAGACCTACTGACCAGTGGGCTTGATTTCCACCGCTGGTGGGACTGTAGAGGCTGTGATAAAGAATAACATCACTAAGCATGTGGGTAAACACACGAGTAAAGCTCTTGCAGAGTCAGCCAGGCCACTGCAAGGGGGAATCCTGCCACCACGGTCTGCTGGACTTCTGTGAGAGTGGCTCCAGCTGGAGGGATCCCGTGGCCATAACGCACATGGATGCCCAAAAGCCTTTGACTAAATGTTTTTAATGAAATTAATTTGTAGGGGGATTGGAGGAAACCCTCTTCTAGGGATGGGAAGTTGGTTAAAGTAAGGGTAGTTCATTGTCAGTCCAGAGAAGAGTCAGCAGTGGCCTCCCTAAGGGATCTCTGCTAGGACTCATTTTATTCTGCATTGCCATCAGTGACCTGGACGAAGAAGTGCACAGTGAACTCTCAAAGCTTGCAGGTGACACTAGGTCAGCCACTGGAATGATAGCAACTGTTTTCTGTGGTTTCATAAGATTGCTAAAACTTTAATTGCAGTAACAATAAATTCTTGGTTCCACATAGAAGGTGTGCTTCCTTTTGCTGTAACAAGTTTTTCAGCGTACCACAGCCCCAACACACACAGAACCAGCCCAAGGCTTGGTAACACCTGAATGCGATAAGCTATTATTTGGATCATGAGTCTGACAGATGTGGGTCTCAAAGCAAGGAGTTTGAAGAAGCTCTTGCTGCATGGTGGTAGGTATATGTAATACATCTGTTGATAGTTCTCCTGGACTGCCATGAGAGACGAGGAAACGCCATGAAGGTTTGTCAAACCCAGTGCTCAACCCTGAAACTCTAGGAAGGGGGCTCAGCCTGAGGAAGGCAGCTTCTGTTATTTGGATCACATCAGCGAAATCTTATCGGGTAACCTGTTGTCATGGTTTATCCCCAGCCAGCAACTAAGCACCACCCAGCCGCTCGCTCCCTCCTCCCCAGGGGGATGGGGGAGAGAATCAGAACAGTAAAAGGGAGAAAACTCATGGGTTGAGATAAAGGCAGTTTAACAGGTAAAGCAAAAGCCGCACGCACAAGCAAAGCAAAACCAGGAATTCATTCACTGCTTCCCATCAGCAGGCAGGTGTTCAGCCATCTCCAGGAAAGCCGGGCTCCATCACGCGTAACGGTTACTTGGGAAGACAAAACGCCATAACTCTGAACATCCCTCCCTTCCTTCTTCTTCCTCCTGTTTTATACGCTGAGCATGACATCATATGGTGTGGGATATCCTTTTGGTCAGTTGTCTGCTCAGCCAGAACCAAAACATCAGTATGTTATCAACATTATTCTCATCCAAAATCCAAAACACAGCACTCTACCAGCTACTAAGAAGAAAACTAACTCTATCCCAGCTGAAACCAGGACACCTGTAAAGCACTAACGACCATTCAGTTCTCAGGCTGACTTGGAATGTGTAGGGTATTTTTTGTTATTTTTCTGTAATTTCCCTTGGGTATTCATGTGCCCATTTAGGCTTCAGCAAATACCAGTGTTCCTTGGTTGTTCTCAGTAATGACAGCTTTATGTAAGGGAAAAAAAGAAGGCAGGATTTATTTTGGCCCTTATTAGTCCCTCCTGGGATGGTGGATGCTGCAGAGCTGTGAGGAAGGCCTTCGATGTACAGCCTTGTACACACCAGGGCTGTGACCAGCACTGCTACCGATGATTTTGTTTTGTTTTAAGTGCATAGCACTGCTTTGCCTCTCTGCCTTCTAACCTTATGCCAAAGCAATCCTATTCAAAGAGATGGAAATCAAAGCAGAGGGAGGTATGGGGAGCAGGCAGGGTATTCTGGGGTGAAACCAACCTCAACCATCTGCTTTAGGGTGATCTGAACCACTCTTCTCCAGTCTCTGTCTTAATTAGATCTCCTCCTGGGTGAGAGGAGCTTAAACACCCAGTGCGCATGGAGGCACCTCATTTCAGGAGTCCCCAGTGGGAGCTGGCTCTCCTGTTGCTGTAATACAGGATGGTGGAGCTGCAGTGCAGTGGCTGAGCTGGACCCTCTCACACCAGATGGGGACCTGACCTGAACCCTTTTTGCATATAATTCTGCTCCCATTACAATCTGATGGTATCGTGAGCCGAGTGCTGCTGCAGTGATATTGCACAGGCTCTGTTTCCATCGGGGGTCTGCATTGAGCCATTAAGTGGTTGGTCCAGGCAGAGCAGATGAACCATCCCAGCTGCTGTGAGTCTGCAGCACCCCAGAGTGGGCTGGTTACAGTCCCTGGGAAGGGAAATGTACGGTGACTTTCAGCTCCGGCAGCATGAATCATAGCTTTTGGATATGTCTTGTTCCTGCTGGAAATGTCACCTGGCTGGAACAAGAGGGCTTTGCCATACACCCAGGTCCTTAGACACTTCACAGCCTTAGCAAGTCTAGCTGCAGGTGTAAAAAGCTCGAATAAACAGCTATTGCACATATGTAGATCTATGCTCTAGTGCCTGCTGATGCACTAGAGGCTACTTGGCTGAGCACATCTAGGAAGCGTTAGATTTTCCCTGCAAATACATGCCCAGGCACTGCTGGCCAGGAGGATCAACTCCCTTGTTCTGGCAGGAGCTCTGGGTCCAGCTGACCCAGTGCCATGGTGAAGGTGGGAAACTCACCCCCACACATCCATTGCCATTAGCTTAGGAACCTCAGGCAGTTACAGCTCCTGAATGTACAGAAGACCGTAGATACTGCAACACTCCTTTATACAGCAAAGAAAATGCTGTGGGCCTAGAAACAAGTTATACTTCATCCACTGCGTAAGAAGATTTTAAAGGTTCAGGATCCTCAGCAGTCAAATGGATGACAGGATGGAGCAGAGAGTATCTAAACCATTATTCACCAGCTGTTCTACCATATGAAAAACCTCCTGGGTCTTCTGTGCCCTACATCAGCACCTTCTTGGAGAGAGAAGTTTGTGTATCCCTCTGCAGATCTGTTTAGTTTTTACACTGTAAATAATGGGGTTTAGCACAGGGTGTACAAGGACATAGATATTGGCCATGAGGACATGAATCAGAGGAGAGGCAGGTTTCCCAAACCTGTACACCATGGACAAGCCAATCATTGGGATATAATAAATCAAAACAGCACAGACATGAGACACTCAGGTGTCCAGGGCCTTGAGACACTCTTCCTTGGATGTGATACTCAGCACAGTGTTAACGATCATGACATAGGACAGGATGACAGACAGCAAGTCTAGCCCAAAGGTACCCAGGACAACAAATAACCCATACATGCTATTCACCTTGATATCTGCACAGGGCAGCTGGAGAAAGCTGGGGTTCAAACAGGAGTGAGCCAGCACATGGGACCTGCAGAATGACAGCTTCTTCAGAAGTATCGGCAAGGGGAGCAAGAGGCTAATGCTCCTCGCTGTGAGCCCCAGCCCAATGACACCTATTCTGGGGTTGGTCAGGATGGAGGCATACTGCAGGGGGTTGTAGATGGCCATGAAGTGGTCAAAGGCCATGGCCCACAGCACCCCAGCATCCAGGATGGAGAAGCAGTGAATGAAGAACATCTGGGTGAGGCAGGCATCAAACCTGATCTTCTGTGAATCAAAGAGCAGCACACTCAGCACTGGGGAGCACAGACAGAGACACGCCAAGCTCTGTGATAGCCAGCGTGCACAGGAAGAGGTACACGGGCTCATGGAGGCTGCGCTCTGCTTTGATGACAAAGAGGATCATGCTATTTCCCAGGATGGAAATAATGTACATGTAGCAGAAAGGGACAGCAAGCCGCACATTCCCATATTCCATTCCTGGGATTCCTGTTAGAAGGAAGGTAGAAGGTCTAAGGAAGCTACTGTTCGTCATTTTCCTAGTACAGCATCTTTGTCCTGTCAAAGATCAAGCAGCAGATCCCACTCATCCTACAAATTCACAGAAATCATAAAAGAGTAATCATGCCATAAAGCAAAGCAAAGCAAAGCTTTCTTCACGTCTCTCACTTCTCACTTCTCAG